GTGGGGGGGGGGGGAGAAGGGGAAGGACAAACCCTCAGCCAGGCCTTTTCACCTGCCTCTTTTCTGTATGGTTTTCTGAGAAGCAATCCCAATTCCAGGCACATCCAAGAACTCTTACATTGCTTTATATTGTCATAAGAGGAAGTTGTATACCAAATTTGGTGGTCCATTTAGGAGGGGTTGTTGAACAAATAGACAGACAGATGAACTCTCTCAAATACACTGTAAATACCCTCAGCCAGGCCTTTTCACCTGCCTCTTTTCTGTATGGTTTTCTGAGAAGCAATCCCAATTCCAGGCACATCCAAGAACTCTTACATTGCTTTATATTGTCATAAGAGGAAGTTGTATACCAAATTTGGTGGTCCATTTAGGAGGGGTTGTTGAACAAATAGACAGACAGATGAACTCTCTCAAATACACTGTAAATACCAACCTTACCCATCACCCCCAAAAAGTGTCATTTTTTGAGCTTAAATTAAATGCTGATGGTGTTGTCAATGATTTAAAACAGTGGTTCTCAAACTTTTTGGCCCCAGGCCTACCTCATTCAATATAAACCTTTTCGCAGACCACCAGTTGCTAATGAAAACTCGCTGTTGATTACATAATTATGATAGAGCCATTTGGTAGTGCTGCAGCTAGGGAGAATGGTTTAATTACATTATTAAACAGATTAAGTGTTTTAACTCTCTCATGTTAGTTTATCAAACTTCATTTTAAATAAAGTAAAATATTAATTTATGTCCAACACAAATGCTTTCAATGTTTTATTTATTCATGGCAAACGTGGGGAACCTTTTTGTGTTGGGGGCCATTGACCCACAGAAAAAAAATCAGTTGGGGAATCACAAAAGTGAGAAAAGAAACTACTCCAAAATCCCCCCAACCCTCTCTGATGTGGCCCTCCAACCCTCACTCATGTGGTCCTCCAATCCCACAGGGCAAGGGGAAGGGACAGGGAGGACTAAGGTTCAGGGCTGCCCATAGGCCAGATTTACTTTCCTGGGGTTCCCGAGTTAGTGGATTTTATGGACCCCTTCAGGCTCTGGGGTGGGGCCAAAAATGAGGGGTTCAGTGTGCGGGACAGGGCTCCCAGCTTGACTGGGATAAGGATGCAGGATCTGGGAGGGAGAGGGGCTGCAGAAGCAGGCTGGGAGTACGGTATCTGCCCAGGAAGAGGGAGCAGAAGCAAGGGAAGGTGCAGTGTGTGGCCAGGAGAAAGACTCCAGGAGCGGACTGGGGGGAGGGTGTCTGGCCAGAAGGTAGGATAGGGTGTCTGGCCTACTGGCCAGAGCTAGTGCTGCAGCCCCACGGCTGAATGCTGGCCGCAAGACTTCAGCAGCAGCATGGGCTCCCTGGTGCATGGAAGAAGAGGAGGGCAACTGAGCTCCCATCATGGACCACCTTGGAAGCGGATGCGCACTACTAGTGGTCTGTGGACCACACTGATTTAAGACAATGAAATTGGTTTTCTGTGTTCTGGATAATGGATGGAGATGGAACTTACTGCCACACAAGTTAGGGCTGTCAGAACTCCAGAGAAAAACCCCCCTCCTCGAGGATTAATTCTTCTCACATTCGGAGGTGCAGAAATCTGATCATTTCCATATTTTTGGAAGGCTGCAAGGCTGTGAGCTATGTCATTGTTTTGCTGAATGTCTTCTCTTCTCTGTTCAATGGCATCAGGAAATAGCTTTTCAATAGCATCCCTAGGCAAACATATCAGTCACTTTACAATATTTCAGTGAGTCTATCCAAATATACAGCATTGAAAACTAGGACTCTTTGTTGGAAAGTGTATTTTATAGCTTATTAGTTACATATTAAATTTTGAGTGAAAGGAGATTTTGACAATCGATATTAGTTAAAAGTTGAATAAGAAGTTTTGCACTCAGATGTTCAATCTAAGGTTCACTATAAAGAAATATATGACTAGAATAACAAGTTTATGCAATAAAACGACTACTCTAATTTTAAAAGGTCAGGACACACCTTAGTTCTTCTCAAAGACAACTAACATTGTTATTCAATAGCACTGGCCAAGTCCAACTGTAAAGCCCCACAACAACAGTGTAGACTATGTAATTGAATATTGTTTATACAGCTCAGAAAACTGTTCTCTTAAAATTGCAGTAACAGCACTTGTATGCAACTCAGAAAAACAGCAAATACTTAATGAATACTTCTAGTATTATGCCGTAGTGACATTAGAATGTATCCCACGAATCTAAACCAGTACTCACATTAATACCACTGATCATTCAAAACTAGAATTATTTCTAGGTATGATACTGTTAAGAACCTTTAAAATAGGGGCATTTTAAAAATAAAGATCTACTCAGAAATAAGTGTAATTATTTGAACAGTTCAGTACAACAGCAGGGGTGGGCAAAAGGGCCTCCGTAGGCCAGATCCAGCCTGCCAAGCAAGTTGATCTGGCCCGCGGAGGCCCTGCCACTCCGCCACCTCCAGGCACACTCCGGGCAGGGCAGGAGGAAACTTTGCATGCTCCCCCCACCCTGCAAGGGGATTGTCACTTCAAGTCAACTGCTCAGCAGGCAGTAAACTAAGTGCAGTGCCCCCTTGCAGGGCAGGGACAGGGAGCGAGAGACTTCTTGTGCTCCCCTTCCCCCCAGGCCCTGACTGACCTGGGGGCATAGGGGAGAGCACACAAACTCTCCTCCCATCACCAGGGGCATAGGCTCCTGGAGGGAACCCCCAGCTGTTCAGAACACCTGGCTGGTCTCTCTGGAGTGCAATCAGGGAGTGTGGTTGGGGAAGGACAGAAGTGTCCTGGCCCCGCCCCTTCTGGGGTTTGAAGTGGCCCCTGGTAAAAAATTATTGCCCCACCCCTGCCTTAAATTGTGCAAGAAAGCTCTGATTACTGAGAGGTTTCAAAAGTATATAGCAAGTAATAAGCAACCATTTTTGTATGGGTGTTTGCTTTTAGGAATATCATATAGATACATTACAATCACCTGAGGAGGATGTTGACCTTAGGGAATCCTTCCCACTTTTCTCTGCATTCTGGACACTCATTCTTCTTAGAGGAAACCCACCATAAGGCTAAGCAGTGTCTACAGAAACTGTGACCACAATTCAAGGTTGTGGGATTGATCAGAATATCATAACAGCAGTGGCAAGAGAACTCACTAACTGAAATCAGGCAGCTGTTCTCAGTAGCAGTATCTGCTTTAACTTTAAATTTCTCATTGTCTCCTGGTAACTTCACATCTTCCTGCATTTTCCCTTTGTGCATCAGATCACTAGAAAGCAGGCTAAAGTCTTTAAATCATGTGAGTCATTATTAGTTCTGCAAAACAAGAAGATAGTTACACTTTTCATTAACAAAAGCCTACAGAAATTAAGTATTAGAAAGAGCATTAATACAACAATCAAATTTATCATGTGGCATACAGTGTTATATTCTCAATGTTTTAGCTCAAATTCACCCCAGGAAAAAAATAATTTTACTAAAAAGTACCAATTCTAGCAGACAGCACCAGATGCTAACTGGTCTCAATTGATTGTATCCTGTACAGGATGTATTATAAAAGCAGACTCTGGATGTACCCATCTAAAATAGTTAGAACCTTAGCTTCCTGACATTTTCTTGTTCTTTACCTTAAGGCGCAAAACACCACCACACCAAAAAACCAGAAAGCATCTAGCTTTTTTTTATTTTAGCAAACTATATATTGATGAAAATTCTTTTGATCACAATACCAAGTCACTATGCAAAATATCATTGTAAAAGTTTAATCTAAAAATACTGGACATGTGGTATATATTCTGTGATCTAAGTCCCTTTGCCTATTCTTGACTTGCAAATTTCCAAGTAGAGTCCCCACCATCCAACAGAGGAAAACTCCATTCAAAAAATGTAGATCTGTACAAGAGCTGACAAGCACAGACTTCAAGGCATGATGGGGGTCCAATTAGCTTCCCTAACAATGATTAGATGGTCAAATACAACAAGCACAAATCTTCCCAGCAAAAATAGTTATCTTAATTTTCTACTGTCTCACCAATTGAGAAGACCCTAATCCTGATGTGCTGAAAAAATTTAGAGGGAAAATGAAATGGTCAGATTATTCCCCTTCTCCAAACAAACACTAGATTGATCAGATTACTAGTCATTTTATTTTTTCAGGTGTGTAATATAAAACAGGGCTCTTCTATTTTTCTTCATTTGCTATGTTAGTAGCTGCAAACATTTCTGCTCTCTCAAATATTTGGCTCATGTTTATTACCAAGTTACATTCTTCTTTCTTATGCCAAGATCAGACACAAAATGAGTTGGTCAGGAGGAAATATGCACAAAACTCACAAACATTACACAAAACACATACCTGCCACACAGCCAGGATATTCACCTTGTTCAGAAACAATTTTGGTCCCAGTGAGGCAGAGAACGTTGGCTTTCTATGAAAGACAACCTGAAATATTACTTATATAGGAAGAGTTTATAGGTTTTGACAAATGTTTTCACACTACAAAGCATTCTCCCGTTTATCTTGGAAAGCAGAAACGCCTTTACAGAAATTCAGTAGGACACATTGTTTCACCATTCACTGGCAGAACTACAAATCCTTTCTTCACAAACCAGTCAGGGGCCACACTCGTTCCTTTCCTCCAGCCCGCTCTACCCTACCTGCTCCTAGTTTCCTTCTGACCCCAAAACAACTGGCGCTCCAGGCCTGACGGCAGCACTGGGGGCGGGGGAGAACGGGGCTGTCAAAACCTGAGTCTCCGGCCCGGCCGCCAGACAAGAGCCAACCCCTCGGCACTCAGGCTCGGCGGGGGGCGGCGGCCCCCGTGTTAGTCCCTGGGCGCGGGAGGCGCCTCGGGGACGGAGCTCTGGGCTTGTTTCGCATTGTCTGGGAGCCTGACACCGCCAGCGCCTCTCCCCGCCCCGCGGGCCATTAGCCGCGTCAGCCCCAGGCTGAAACTCTCCGGGCGCCTCGCCCCCCGGGGCCAGCAAGGCGAGCACACGCGGCCCAGGGCAGTCGGACGCGAAGGGAGCAAAAGCGCGTCCCCCACCCCCGAGCTCTACTCACCCCGGGCGCCCCCTCCCGCCGCTAACTAGTGACGGCGACATGTCCCCTCAGCCTCACCTCGCCGGGCCGGGCCCCAGCACTTCCGCATACACGCAGAACGACCCTATTGGTGAGCTCCCAACCATAGAGTAGAGCGGAGAGCTCTGCCTAGAGAGCCTTTAGAACAGAGGGCAAGAAGAGGTCGCGCCTGCGCACTGTCTCTCACGAGAGTAGGGTGGGAGAGAAAGAACGGGGAGCGCTAGGTTCTAATCCCGCATATGGCGGGAGATCCCCGGGGACTCAGTGCTCGCTCCGCACTCCCACTGATTTACGTGGGAACGACTAGGTACCCCTGTCTCACTGGAAGAGAGCGAAAGAGGTGCACTGCTGTTGTGCCCCTAACAATTATTAGGTTGGGTTTATTAATAAACAGAAGTGATTATCAACTATAGAAAGTAGAATGCAAGGAATTGTAAGTAATAGCAGACAGATCGAAGTAAGTTACAAAGCAAATCAAAACTCGCCAGCTAAGCCTAAAACACTAAGACATTTGTTACCTGTAATTTCTTACCATAACATTCTAAATGACCTTTTCTTATGGGCTCCCAGCTTGGACCCAAACCTTAGATTCATAGGGTTGGAAGTGACCTCAGGACGTCTTCCAGTCCAATCCCCTGCCCAAAGCAGGACTAACCCCAACTAAATCAGCCCAGCCAGGGCTTTGTCAAGCCAGGACTTAAAAACCTCTAGGGATGGAGATTTCACCACCTCCCTAGATAGCCCATTCCAGTGCTTCACCACCCTCCTAGTGAAATAGGTTTTTTTCTAACATCCAACTCAAACCTCCCCCACTGTAACTTAAAACCATTGCTTCTCACTCTGCCATCTGTCACTACTGAGAACAGCCACACCCTTTTTTAATGGGGGGCCCAGAATTGGACCCAGTGCTCCAGATATGGCTTCATCAGTGCCCAATAAAGGAAAATAATCATTCTCTAGATCTGCTAGCAATGCTCTTCCTAACGCACCCAAATATGCCGTAAGTCTTCTTGGCTACATGGGTACTCTTTTGACTCATATCTAGCTTCTCATCCACTGTAATCCCCAGGTCTTTTTCTGCCAATCAGCTGCTTAGCCAGTCAGTCCCCAGCCTGTAGCAGTGCTTGGGATTCTTCCATTCCAAATGCAGGACTCTGCACTTGTCTTTGTTGAACCTCATCATATTTCTTTTAGCCAGTCCTCCAATTTGTCTAGGTCACTCTGGAGCCTTTCCTCCTTGCTCAGTGTCATCCACAAACTTGCTGAGGATGCAATCCATCCCCTCATCCAGGTCATTATAAATATTCTGAACAAAACCAGGCCCAGTATTGGCCCTTGGGGCACACTGCTTGATATCAACCACCAGCCAGACATTGAATGGTTGATCACTACCTGTTGAGCCCAACAATCTAGCCACCTTATAGTCCATTTATTCAATCCATATTTCCTTAACTTGCTGGCAAGAATACTGTGGGAAACTGTATCAAAAGCCTTGCTAAAGATAAGGTATATCCGTCCACCGCCTTCCCCATATCCACAGAGCCAGTTATCTTGTAATAGATGGTAATCAGGTTGGTCAGCCATGACTTCCCCTTGATGAATCCTTGTTGACTATTCCTGATCACTATCCTCTCTTCCAAGTGTTTTAAAATGGATTCCTTGAGGATCCCCTCCATGATTTTTCCAGAGACTGAGGTAAGGCTGTCTGGTCTGTAGTTCCCTGGATTGTCCTTCTTCCCCTTTTTAAAGATGGGCACTATATTTGCCTTTTTCTAATCTAGGACCTCCACCGATTGCCATGAGTTTTTGCAGATAATGGCCAATGGCTCTGCAATCACTTCAGCCAATTTCCTCCACTCCCTCTCATGCTTTAGTTCCAGCCCCATGGATTTGTATATGTCCAGCTTTTTTAAATAGTTCTTAACCTGTTTTTTCTCCACCGAGGGCTGCCCATTTCCTTCCCATGCCTTGTTGCCTGGTACAGTAGTCTGGGAGCTGACCTTGTCTGTGAAGACAGAGGCAAAAAAAGCATTGAGTACTTCAGCTTTTCCCACATCACGTCACTAGGTTACCTCCCTCCTCCGGTAAGGGTCCCATACCTTCCCTGACCACCCTCTTATTGCTAATATGCCTGTAGAAACTGTTTTTGTTACCTTTCATATCCCTTGCTAGCTGCAATTCCAATTGCACTTTGGCCTTCCTGATTATACCTCTGTACGCTCATGCAGTATATTTATACTCTTCCCTAGTCATCTGTCCAAGTTTCCACTTCTTGTAAGCTTCCTTTTTGTGTTTAAGCTCATTAAAGATTTCACTGTTAAGCCAATCTATCATATTTGCTTTTCTTCCTGCATCTTCCATAAGACTTCTTTAAAATACAGCCAGCTCTCCTGGATTCCTTTCCCCCCTCATGTTAGTGTACCAAGAGATCCTGCCCACAAATTAAAGAAAAATACCATCATCGCTAGATTCACTTTTTTTCCTTTTAGTTACTCCTAATCTTTTCTTGGTTCAGTTCACTTCTATGCCCTGAATTTCTGGGAGTAGTCCTGCCTGGGTTTAAATCATTCTATGTCTCTCAACTCCTGGTTTAACTTTCTCAAAGAAAGCAGGCAAGGAATCTTATACAATTCAAATTTCAGCACCATATGCCCATTGGTTCTTCTGGCTACAGGAATTTAACCTCTTAATCACCGAGTTCTCGTCAGCACTCCTCCCGTCCATTACACCCTCACTTAGCAGTTCTAGATCAGTAAAGAGCTTTATATTTCATATTTCTAATTTCAAACACAAAAATGATACATGCCCACAAATTGACTAGATATATTCAGTAGATTACAAACTTTCCAAATATGTGTTTTATACAAAATATTGCATGTAACCTATTAAAATTAGGAATATTCTTACTCAAAAACATATTTTCATAAAGAATATGGTGGTACAATGTCACACTTCTCTCATGAGATCACTGCTAGAGGGTCGGACATTATCTAGTGTGCATAAAATCTGTTTGGTTTTGTTTCACTTCCTCAGACCTGTTGAGGAACAAACCTGGACAAAGGGTTGGCTAGAGCAGTATTGCTTTTGGGACTGTTCATTGGCACAGATTCTTAAGAGTAAAGTGATACACACATACATCACATTCATGCTGGCAATCTGGAGGCAGGCTACAAGTGCAGTGTAGATTATTTTTTATTTCGCTGGTGGCTGGAGTGCTGACCAGCCGTGAGCTTTTGGGAGACTTGATCATGATGTTCCTTGGGAGATCCCTTTGGATATGCAGGAGGCTTTCCCTTCTCAGGGCTGGTCCCAGGCTTCTGCATCTTGTCCAAAAGAGAAATATTCTGGCTGCTTCTCAGTTAATTTATCTGCTTGAAAGGTCTTTCTCTGCCTTAAAAGTACATGGATCCTAAACTGCCTTTTTGATTGGGTATTTCTCATTCACACCTCATGCACATTCCACAGGTTACATACATATTCATAAGCAATATGGTTTCTAAGCAAAGTGGGGCCTCGTGGCCTTGAATACAAGAAATTGCATTGTACTACAGATAACATACCAAAGGCATGATAAAAAGCTTAACAAATTATAACTAAGAAAGCCAAGGTCAGGGAAGAAGGAAAAAGCAGAGGAGTGTGTCTGATCAGCTAGACACCAGTGAAGAGGAGGGAAGGGGGTTGTGTCTGATAGGTTTCAGGCTTTGGTTACACAGTTACATTCATGGGTGTTTTTGCAAGGTTGGGTTCCTGTTCTGCAGGTGCCTGAAAATATTTCAGGGTGTAGCAGTACCCCCAGAGTGCAGATAGCAATGTCTTTTAAAGCTGTGGTTCTCAAATTGTGATCTGCGGACCACTAGCAGTTCATGACAGTCTTGAATATTAGCTGCAGGCTTGGGGCTTGCCCCCTAGCTGCAGCAGGGAGCCTGCAATGGTGCTCCAGCCCCATGTTCCCTGCCCCTACAAAGTTGGAACGCCAGAGCCAGCTTTCCGCTGAATGGGGAGTGTCACAGGCTGGATCCAGCTAGAGGGGGAAGGAAGCAGCTCTGTATGCTGCTGCTTCCCCTCCTCCTGGTTGGAGGATAGGAGCATAGGAAACAACTCGCCTGTATGGTTTTCCCGCTACTCCCATTGGCCAGAATCATGGCCAATGGGAGCAGAGGGAGGCACATGTTATCTGCTTAAACAAAGCACACGAGATCTTTTATAGGGGAAAAGACAGTATGCCGCATTTATTGAGAATACAACAGTTGCATATGCTTTGCAATCACTCACACAAACAAACACCATACACACACACACAGTCCCGCCAGATGATGTTATAGTTACCAGTCCATATTCTGTATCAGTCTAGTGGCCAGCTAGATTGAACACAGAGGGAGAGCAGGGCCTTTGTCAGTTGATTGATCCAATGTTCCTCTGGAGTTGGTGGCAAGACGAACCCAAAGTTCCATAGCAAAGCACCCTACTTTTATAATCCTTTTCTCTGTTGAAATCAATGGATTCCGCTCTGTCAGCCTGTGATCAGAATGTTATCTTGTTGATGTCATTCGTTCCCAAACATCTCATTCTGTCCTGGATTTAATCTGTTGTTTTCAGGGGTGCCCGCTTTTCACCTTTAGAGCCGTCAATTCTGCCAATCTGATCAATTCTTGATCTTGGGTACGTACTGATGGTTTTTCTGACGCCAATATGTTTCTTTTCGTAGTCTGGCTTTTACAGTTTGTCTTCACCCCGCATTCTCCCCCTTTTCTCTTGACCACCTGGCTCTAATGATGACCTTCACACGGTATCTCATTCATACAAACAGTCTTTCACAAAATCCTTCAAAAGTAAACAGTACTGTTTTATATTAATCAAAATCAAAACAATTCACATCGAAGGCCTGGACCTTCAATATTTCTAATCTCATTAACATAGACACAATATGAGATCCTGTCTCTT